CCCTGCCCGGCCCGCTGTGCCCACACAGGGCTCCCCGCAGGCACCGACGGGCAGAGCCGCTGGCAGCTCCCCGGCACGGCCGGGCACAGCGGGAGAGGGCAGAGGGCTCGCAGCCGGGGCCAGCACCCTCCAACGCCTCTCCCACGCAGGGCACGGACCCGGACGCGAAAGGTGGCTTGTTGTTCCCAAACGGGCACGCTCCTTCCCAGGCTCTTCCCAGGGGCACGGTCACGCCTGCCGGAAGGCACTGCCAGGACTCGGTGCTGACTCCAGGAGAATTCGTCCTCATCAACAGCAGAAATCAGACCTTGTTCTACAAACCAGCTTTGTTCTCGTGCTGTGCTAGCCGAGGGATGTGTGGGACTCAGAAGAGCGGCGGATGAAGGAACAGAGGAGTGCCACAAGTGTGGAGCAGCTCAGTGAAGGAGTCCAGAAACGCCAGTGGAGAGGACAGACGATCCGGGGGATCCCACTTCACATCAGCTGGCCCCGTTAGCAAAGCACAAGGGCTTTAGCGAGGGGGAGAGCTCACAGCTAACAGCCCCGGGTGCAGGACCGAAGGCTTCAACGCCCAGACCGCACCAAGCAGCCCCACGCTGAGAACTTCTGCCATTTATCTACAACAGGGGGTAAAGACACTAAGCGTGTCAACACTTTGCAGGAGCCCCTTCACGATTCAGAGGAGTTACCCACTAATTCACAAAGAAGCGACCAGCACAGCTGACAGACTGCTTGTCCCAAGTGCAGCATTTACCCCAAGTGCATTCCCAAAACACAAGCACCTTGAAACTGCAGCTACTACAAAATCTTACACTAAACACAGGTTTAAAAATAAATACATAAAAATGAAAGCAGCACCATTAACCTGGCACAACTATCCCTGCTCTATTAAGTGGGATTCATTCCGGGTTCAGATCTAATTCCGATAATCCAACTCAATCAAGTTACTACAAGTTTTCTGTATTCGCTGTACACGCTGCAGGTCATAAAAACAAGGCAGTCTTCATCTTGTTGGACAACAAAAATGCAACCAACACAGTTCCAGCATACAAAGCATCTTGTTAAGCACCGACATGCTTCAGCGTGCAACTGGCTTAGCTATGAAGAAAGCCTCAAAACAGAAAACAGCCTCACCATCCACAGGAGACCAGAACTCCAAGGCAGGCAAAGGCAGAAGATTTGGACAAGTACATAGAATTTTTCAAGCCCAATTAGTTTAAAAAAAAGTCCTTCTCACTTCAGAGCCCCATCAGCACCTCCGAGGGCCACAGACCGACTGCCCGTCACAAAGCGCGCTCTGTCCATGCCACCCAGCCCTCCCAGGGACCTCGCAGGCAGAACGGGACAGCTCCCTGGAACAAAAACAGCCGGCAGCACAGCTACAGCTCAAACAATAGATGTTTGTCACCACTGTCACACCATCACACAGGGGAAAGAGGAAGCGCAAGCTGCAATATTTGCCCTTCTTGTGAAAGCAGCAGCTCTGTTCAGGCAGGAAAATAAAAACCATTGAGCAATCGGAAGAAAACAATTGTTAAAACAAACTGCAAACGAGCACGGGACCAAGAGGAAAGTCATCCAACACGGAGACGCAAAACCAGCACCCACCACCCCTGCCACGGTGCTCTTGGGTCGTCCCCTGGGGAGGGCAGCCCGGGCTCCCCTCGGCTCCCA